AAAAATATACAATATACACACAAACCAGTAACAGATGGGAAGATGAATTCAGGAGAATTATTTCATATCCTATGTGTTAATGCATTTTTTTTAAAATGAAGAACATATATTTCTTCTCTAATATTGATAGTAATATTTAATACAAGTACTTGAGTTAAACACACAGAGATTCTATTCTGGCTCAAAAACTTAAGGTCTGGCTCAAGCACTTTTACAATTCTAGAATCTCCACAGCCAGATTTTTATGCACACCACCCTGATTTTCTGAGCACCTATTTTTTTTTTTAAAGATTTTATTTATTTATTTGACAGAGACAGACACAGCGAGAGAGGGAACACAAGCAGGGGTTATGGAAGAGGGAGAAGTAGGCTTCCCGCCAAGCAGAGAGCCCGATATGGTGCTCACTCCCAGGACGCTGGGATCACGAGCTGAGCTGAAGGCAGAGGGTTAACCCACTGAACCACTCAGGCACCCCTGACCACCTATTTTTGATAGGAACCATCCAGCACTGGGTAGACAATTGTTGATCCAAAAACAGACATAATATGCACACACAAAGCTCCTAGTCTAGGGGAGTATATTACCCAGTTTAGGCTGCAGCAACAAATCAACCCCGAAATACTCAGGATTTACCATTGCAAGAAATTATAACAATGAGTAGGACAGCTCTGGGACCCATGCTGAAGGAGCAGCAACTCTCTGGGGTCCACTCTTCTCATGGCACATGCCAGAAGTTATAGTTAAAACAGGCAGAAAGGGGTAAGAGCGTTTAAAGCATCTGCTCTTTTCCACCCAGAATAAAAACCAAAGTTGTTGCTTTGGCTAACAAGACTACATGATTTGTTTATCAGATGCGTTATTCTCTATCTCCCCCTTCCTCCCTCTACAGTAGTTGACTCTGGCCTTTAGCTATTCTTCAGACAGCACAGACATGCTCACATTGTTGCACATCTGAAGCTGTGATTTCTTCTCCTTGAAGCAATTACTTATTATTTGCAAAAGAAACTCGAGTTGAGAGAAGACTTTTTGAATCTCAGTTATTCAATATTAATTTTTAACTTGTTTAAAGTCATACAGAATGATTTGGGGGTTTATAATAGAAAGGGTGGTTTCTGGATTAACCAATAAAATGAGTTTTCAAAATTTCATTTACTCAAATCCAAAAGAAATGACATTCACTTAGTATGTTCCTGACTGATATGTAGGATTCCTGAAGAGTGGCTCTTGGCTTATCATACAGACATTATTTGAATTTCAAATCTAGTAAAATCTTTCTACCAAAAAATAACAACAACAACAAACAAAAAAAACCTTGCAAAGTATAACTATAGCTTACAGATTATCTTCTTTATCACAGGGAATAATGGGACAGCTGAAAATTGTTTCAGCCTCATGACAAAGATGGGAGAATCACTTTATGGTTTCTAATTATACTCTCTGGAATAGACATGTGAATTCTCCCTGAAATATTCTAGTTTTTGCAGAGCCTTTGCTTGAATCTTATAAATACATTTCCAGTACGGTTGAATAGTTAAGTGTACTTCATTTTGCATATTGTTTCCTGTGATATTTACATGACAATGGTGAAGTAAGGCATAACCAGAAGAACAGTGATGTCTTAAATAGAGTTCCTTTCAAAAGCACAAATACCTCATATTTCAAGGAGGCACTAGCATTGGTTGTTCTCTTCCTGTATCACTTGCTCTTTAGATATGGTCAAAAGAGAGCATTGGCCAAAGGTCAGAGAGCAGGAGAAGAAAACGTTCCATAATCCTCAGGCTGCCTGTTGCAGTTGGGCAGTGTCTGTGTTTCTCCATCTGCAGCCGCTCCTGTCAGGTGGCTGCTCTTTCTAGCGTTAGCCCTTACAGGTTTTGGCTACTGCTTCCCCCTTCCCTTCAGACCCTGAGGGGGTAATGGCTTTATACTCTTGTATTCTTTGGCTTCATTCACCTTTTCATTTCCCTTAACTCAGCCTCTAGCTTTCCAAATTGTCCCTTCATTAAACTCTTTTAGTAGTGATCCTGCTCACTGTACCATTTCCTTCCTGCCCAGGACCATGACTCATATAATCGTCTATCATGCTCTGTGTCCTACGGAAGTTTTCAAATGAAAGTGGCAAGGATGAGAATAAGTTATACTTTTCTAACTGGCAAGTCTAAGTGAGTTGGAGGAAATCGGAGGGGGAAACAAGCCATGAGAGACTGTGGACTCTGAGAAACAAACTGAGGGTTTTGGAAGGGTGAGGGGCTGGGAGGTTGGATAAGCCTGGTGATGGGTATTATGGAGGGCACCTATTGCATGGAGTACTGGGTGTGGTGCATAAACAATGAATCTTGGAACACACACACACACACACACACACATAAATTATATTTTTTAAAAAGCCATGAGCAAGAATTAAAAAAAAAAAAAATCAGATCATGAAAATAGGATTCAGCAGGGGCTCCTGGGTGGCTCAGTAGGTTAAGTATCCGACTTTTGATTTCCGCTCAGGTCATGATCTCAGGGGTGTGAGATTAAGCCCTACATTGGGCTCTGCAAAGGGTATAGAGCCTGCTTAATATTCTCTCTCTCCCTCTCCTCCTCCCTGCTCATGCTCTCTCTCTTTCAATTAAAAAAAAAAAAAATTTTTTTTTAAATGGAATTCAACTAATCTATTCCCTTCCTAGTACACTTGCCTTTGATGTTTCTCTAACAACTGGGCTGACCTTAGTCTTGCTAATCCTCTTCTTCAGTCTAGTTCCCCCATCCTTTGACTCTCTACACCTCCTGGAACCTGATGTCCACTGAGTGAAACCATGAGGCTTACCTGCTTGCTTGGATGTTTTTAGCATGTTGGGGTAATTTATTTACTTTAAAAAAAAATGCTTCTCCATAGGCAAAGGATTTTTCCTATGGTTATTTAAAAACAATAGTCCTCCTTTTTAATGACATAAGTAATACATGAATATATGACTGTTTCATAATAATATGAAAATATTATTTCAAGTAATATAAAGTATACAGAGTAAAATGTAAAAAAGCCCTCTTTGTTACTTCCCAGTCTTGCTTCGGTCCCCAGAAATAACTGCTCTTTGACAATCAGCTAAGCCTCCTTTCAGATTATCTATCTAATTTTTGTTTTTAACATTAATAGAATCATATTGTATGTATAGTTATGTGTCATGTATGTTACATAAATGTCTTATATTTGTATGTTACCTAAAGGCATGTCTCTGTATGTATATTGCTCTATATCGTATATGTATTATCATATAAAAGGAATATCTCTATCTCAAATCATCTGTTTGTCTGGTCAACTATAGATGCCTTGGGTCACTTGCCAAGTCTTACATATTATTATAATTGGTAAGTGCTGCAAAATATTCCACAGAATTAATCTATTTTCTCACTGTAGCAAATAATGCAATAATAACTTTCTCATATATGTTTAATTATACTCTTACTTTGGGATAGATCTCTGAAAGGAGATGTCTGAGTCAAGAAAATATGTTCTTTAAAATTTTTGATAGATATTGTCAAATTGTCATACCTAGTAGTAGTCACTCCCAATTCCCCCTTGGCCCTAGACAACCACTAATCTACTTTCTGTCTCTGTATATTTGCTTATTCTGGAAATTTCACATCAATGGAATCTTAAACTTATTATCAACATCAAAATGTTTCCAAGGTTCATCCTGTTGTAGCATGTGTCTGTACTTTATCACTTTTTATTGCCAAATAACATTCTACTGTATGAGTATACCTTGCATTTATTTATTCATCAGTTGGTGGAAATTTGTGTCATTTCTACTTTTCAACTATTATAAATACCACTATGATCATAATGTACGAGTTTTTGAGTAGACATATGATTATACTTTTCTTGAGTATATAGTAGACTTGGGTCATGTGGTAACTATATGTTTAACATTTTGAGAAATTTTGCCAAGAATATTCAATAATTAAATTATTCAATATGATCAATATTCAATAATATCAAGAATATTCAATAAATAAAAAAATAAATTTGTTTCTAATTGTGTTAGTATATTTGCTATGCCATCACTGAGTCTATAAAGTAGGTAAAATTTTATAAAGATCATCAGTATTTTGTCTGTATAATTAATCAAGAGATTATAATTGTGTTGAAAATGTAGATTTGCTATTCCAAAAATATTCATAAGAACCATAAAAAAAAAACTGGAAAGAATATAGTCTTTGTTTTGAACCAACGCAATTTAGATGATGGTACAGGTTGAATGATTATTAGACATGTTTAGAGTTTGAATTCCAAAGATTTATAGATCTTTGAAATCATTTTTAATGTCTTTATTTTGCACTTGCGAAAATAATTATGGTCCAAATATGGTAAACTTAGGGATAAAATTTGGGTTTCGTATTATGAAAATCTCACTTTGTCTTGTGAGGACTGTATGATTTTTTGTTGTGTATTTGTTTTACTTGTTTGGGAGTTGTCTGCTCAAAATCAATATCCCCTTTCTTATAGAAAAGAGATGGTTTGGGGGTACACAAAGATTTTCCAATAAAGCTTGGTCTGTTTGGTATTGGATAAAATACTATATATACATGATGGGCAAGCTTTTGATGATGATAAAATATATACAATGACCTTTGTTTTTTATGTAGAAATTTTAATTTATACCTATCTAAAAAAAATTCCTTCAATATAATAGTGTTTCTATATGCTAAACACCATGATAAATGGTGATTTTAAATCTTTATTTTATTTTTTAATAAGTTATGCCACAGATATTATTGTGTTTATGTTTGAGGTAGAAACTACATATTGAGTCGTGATTGACTTGTTTAGTGGTAAGCAGCTATAATTTGAATCCTCATCTCTAAATGCCATATGTAGATTTTTATATCACTGTTACAAAGATTTAGAGATGGAGAGGAAATTCACTTTCCAGATTAATTGCCCAAAACGAGTGACTGTCAGTGAACTGTGTGTCCTTCGTGAGAATATTATTTAAACCTTATTGTACCTTTACAGATTGCCTGGGAACAACTGTGGTTCTTCATCCTGTCAGATGTGGAGCCTCTACAAGGGACCTGCTAGGATCAGAGAATACATTCCAGGGCTTCGCAAGGGGTTGGTGGCACTGAGATTCCTGTAATTACAGCCTTATTTGAAGGGCTGTGAACACTCCTAGGGATGTAATTTGGGATAAAGAGAAATGCTTTAAATCAAAACTATGTCCTCCACTGGGTCACAGTTACAGTTGTTCAATAATATTTTCTAAAAAATTCTGACATTTAATATTATAATTTTCATATCAAAAGTCCTCAGACCACCATCCTTCATCCAGATATTTTTATTTTCTTTTTTAAAATTGTAACTCCAGTATAATTAACACAGAGTGCTAGTTTTAGGTGTGCAAGACAGTGATTCAACAATCTGAAATAATTCTCTTTTTAATAAACATTATCAACAAAAGACGTTAGAAGTGATGACTTGTAAGGTCTATGAAGCTGGTTTCATAACTTCAGTATCTTCTGGTCTCTCTGAGGATAGCAAAAGCATTAATTTTTTAAAAATTTTTATTTTATATCCTATTCTTTGAAGGAACTATTTTCTTTAGCCACCTGTCTGCCCTTTCAAACTACCTTCATTTTTTGTTTACTTTTGCTTTTGTAGCATTTTGTCAACTCTTCTTGCATGACTGTAGATTCTAGGTTTTCTGTTCATTTTTAAGTACAAGACAGTTGAAGAGTTGTTGCAGGTTTTGGCTTACATTAATGGGGGTTGTTAATTGGCAGGAATACCTAAGAGAGAAGTAGATGAACTATTTCATTGGTAGGGGAAATTTTAAATGATTGAAGTTGGACTTTGAGCCAGAGCACCAATGCCCACAGTAGTTGAGCTACTTCACCAGTTGGTATGTTTAGTTATTGCTGTGTGTTCTTATCTTAGGAAAAAGGGAAAATATGGTCAAGCCACCATCTGGCAACACCTTATTTAACACCTAGTTACATTATTTTGGGAATTGCTGGGCTCAAGGGATGTAATCATAAATCTTGAACTCTGCTCTAAAATAAACCCATACTGTTTTATTTCTTTTTGAGGAAAAACTCATTTAATTACTGAGAACTAGTGTGTTCTCTCATTTTTTACGATTTCTGTTAGTGGTCTTACTGCTCTCTTTGTATCCCATAGTCAAACACCTGAAGTTGTTCTGACGCCTTCTCTCTTCTGGAATTCAGTTTAGTAATTTATCTTATATCTGTTTCTCATTTCCATTTCCCCTGGAACCAACCTTTGCCTTGGTTCTTTTAATAAATAAATCATATTTGTCAAGAATGAGTCCAGACTTGAAGGAAGATAATGTGTATACTCTAGAGCCAGGAGAACCAGGTTTAAATCTTGGCTGTGTCACTTATTATCTGTATGAAATAAGGTACTTATCCTTTCTAAACTGCTATTTCCTCTTCTATAAAGTTGAGATAACCATAATTTCCACCATATAGGTTTTTGGGGGAGGTTAAATGACATAAAAAATGTAAAGCACTTCACCTAATGCCTGATACACAGTATGTACTAAAAATGTTATATATAGGTATTTGTTTATTTTGCATGTCAATTTTTAAATATTATATTTAATCCAATATTCTTAATACATAAAATAAGAACTATGGTCATTCCTTTCAAATACTTCTCTTTTGCATAGCAAATCACTTCTAAATTATTAATGACAAATCAAGGGCTTCCAGCATTTTTAACCACTTACAATCCACATTCCACTTATAATCTAAAAACCACAGATTTTCATAATGCCTTTTTGCATGTCAGTCTCATACTCAGAAATCTTGATTTTTCATTATTATCCAATCGCCTGGAAAATAAAGCCAAGATGTCTTAGTTGATACTGAAGGTACTTTCCTATCTGTCTGTACCGACTTTTTATTCTCCATTGATGCCCTGTTATTTCTGCATATGAAGGAACCATTCATTCTGGCAAAATTTATCTGCTTATTGTCTGCCAAGTATACTAGTGTGTATTCCTGCCCTTGTCCTTTTTTCTGATGAAATGATATAAATTATTCCTTGAATTCCCAATTCTAGTTTCAATTCCTACCTGAAGTCCAGAATTCTATGGTTTTTAGTTTCTGCATCATTTTTTCCCACATTTATGGCATGCCTATGCAGTACTCTTGTTAATCTCTTTTACAAATATGACAAATCTCTAAACTTAAAGTCAGGTACAGGGGTAGTTTGACATTATCAATAAGTGGAGGGTAAATAAGGAGAGGGCAACTTTTTGTGATAAGGTGTTATAAAAAGTTCACCCCAGTGATACAGCCAATCCAGTTGGCAAAATCTAGAATGAAGAATAGCCCACAAGGCAGAAACAGTGTTATGCATTCAGATATTCATTCAAGAGTGTGTTTATAACTGCAAAAATTTCAAAACAACCTTAATGTATAACGAGTTCCTTAAGAAATCATAGATCATTTGTTTTAGTGAATAAATATATATTATTAAAAATTAGATTGTAATCTGTCTGAGAAACAAAGAGAAATGCCTCTGCTCATGCTCTGCACCATTTATAAAACATTTACTCTATGCTAGAGTTGAGAGGTGACACACATCCATTACTTTATTCTCTCCAATCACCTGATGAGGTTGGTATTCCTGTTTTGCTACTTATCTATTTATAGCACTGTAGCCTCTACATTTTTCTTTAAAAGATTTTCTTTATTTATTTGAGAGAGAGTGAGAGAGCATGAGAGGGGACGTCAGAGGGAGAAGCAGAGTCCTCACGGAGCTGGAGCCCAAGGTAGGACTTGATTCCGGGACTCCTGGATCCTGACCTGAGCTGAAGGCCGTCCCTTAACCAACTGAGCCACCCAAGCGCCCATGAAGCCTCTACATTTGCAAACACTCCGAGAAAACTTGCCGACAATGTAAGTAATAGTCACAGGGCCAGTCTGCCAAGTAAAACGCAAAAAAGTAGACCTTTTTGTCTTTTGACCTTTTTTTGAGGGGACTTGTCTTCATAGGTTGGGCTGTTATAGTTGCAGATAGAAGTTAGGTTGCATTCTTATGTTACTGCCAAGATAGGTGAACTGGTGTCATTATCTTGCTGTGGTTCTAGATTTCCCTAAGGGTAGTTACCCATTAGCAGAACAAGTGATGTCTGTAATGTATAAAAATTAATACAGCATGGACACTGGCCAATCAGAACAGTGCCACAGCTAGTAAGAATGAATACTTGTGTAAGTAAGTCATAAGGTCATACCTGTGCAGGGGGGAATACCCACCCTGGAGACTGGGAACCAGAAAGTTACTTATGCTACCCCATGTTCTTTAAGTCACACTTCATCTGTAAGCCCAGAACTATTAGACATTTAGGAATCAACTTGTGTTTCCATGGATGGCTGAACAAAATTTTAATGAGATACTCCTTTAATATATTGAAAGTAGTTTCCTCATAAAATCCCAAAAACCAAGGTAAGTAGGGTTTCCAACAAATTATACTGGGAAATCTGTACAGAGTTCTTAATGAAGTGGCAAAGATAATTACAGACTTCTAATTAACTACTTAATTGCTATGAATTAGTAAATCTCCCAGCTTGGATGGCTTTTACTCAGTTTTGTGATTGAAAAAATACATTCTCTTCAACTTTCTTCTTGTTCTTTCAGTGTAATTAACCATTTCCTTGTACCACTGACCTTTGCTAAGAGACATTTAATTACTGCTAATCCTTAGCTCTTGTTTTTAATCATCTAAAAAAATTAATGGCTTTAGCAGCAGTAAACACCTTAGCTTTGAACTGGTTCTGTGTAAATTATAGACCCTGAGTCATAAGGCCTTGAAACTAAGATAGCCTATTTCGTAAATAAAGGAGAAACCATTCCAAACATTTTTACCAGGAGAAGGAAAGCATTAGCTAATATTTTATGATACATTCTGGTCCTTGTTATGTGTTAATGCATCTCCCCTCATCATCACCTTCTCATTATAAAAGAGAGAAGTGCATCATAATGAGACAATTGAGTTTCACCTTTAATCCAGGCCAATGAGTGGAAGAACATAGAGTCTCCTTCAAAACAATCCTTTGTGCTTACTAGACTCATTCACAGATGCTTGACAAAAGAATCATTGATCCCTTTCTATTGATTGTAGGAATTTTAAAAGAAAATCACAAAATAGAAATGAAATTTTCATCCAAGTTGTCGATAGAGGGAACGAAGAAATTTCGTCATAACTAATATATGACATGTAATATGAGTTATTACACAGTTGTCTTCCTCAAGCTTATGGGTGGCGTAATACATTCCACTGACTCCCACTTCTTCCCACTGGTTACTTTTAACTCTTACTGCACCCATTTGCTCATCTCCTCTTTTCTTATTTTATTTGATAAACTTGTTATCATCTGGATGATCTCATCCAGAACAAAGGGAAAATGATAGTTCCTGACACATTTTGAGTGCTCCTGATAAAAATCCATCCTATTAATACTCCAAATGAGGCCTCTCTCAGAATCATTTCCTACAACTTAGCAGGGAGGGTATGAGATATAAGATGGAGAGAGGACAAAGAAAAATTGTGTCTGAGGAGACTGATTGGCTGAATAAAAATTAGAACAGTCAAATATGTTTAGGATTTACTTTTTTAAAAATTTTCTTGTTTATGTATATTTGTCTGCTGGGTTCCTTCATAACTAAGGGAAAACCAGAGAGGTTTAATATGCAAGGGGAATGTCAACACTCATTTTTACTCTGTGGGAACCTGGGAAGTTGGAGTTCTGTAGGCCTCAGATTCATCAAGGATTAATTCTATCCACTTTACAGTGCAATTAATAAGTAATGTATATACATCTCTTAGTAGAGTGCTTGCCATTTATTAGGTACTAAATAAATATTACCAACCAGTCCAACCTAAGTTTAATTGAGCTAGCTGCTTCTCTCTAAAATGTAAACTGTATGTAACTTCAGTTTTCAGAATTTCCCAGTGAGACAGAGAGGAACAAAATATGATGGATTCTGGGGTGAATCTCCTCCCGCATGCCTCTGGCAGGGCTCACTAACTCCCAGCTCTGCTGGGATGTGGCCTTAGCTCCCACCAACTGGACTGAGCTGACAGTCTTGTCACACTGAATTAATGTGCTTGCCTTGGCATTTACATGGAGTCGAGGGTCGAAGACTTGTCAAATACAGAGCTCTGCGACTGTCTCTGAGGGAGGTACTTACATGCACAGGAGTACCACAGAATGTTCTTTCCATGGTACAGTCTGCCATAGCCTTGTTACCCAAGCTGCGACCACCTCCCCACAAGCTCAGACTCAACCTCA